CTTTTTTTTTAAATAAAAAATTGAATATTCACTATATTTTTCAATCACACTTCATATGTTATATACATGGGTAAAATACCACACACTGAGCCAGGAGTGGTGTACACCTGTAATTCTAGCACATATAAGGCTGAGGGAAGAGGACAGAATTTGAGGCTAGCCTGGGCTGCACAGCAACTTTAAGGCTAACCCGGACTATGTGAAAAAGATTCATAAAAACCAAGCAAAAAGTAAATACGTCACTGAAACCAGTTATTTTATAAAATCAATAGGTACCTGTAACAAAATTTTCAGTAACTTTAAAAGGAGGAAAAAAACAGTTAACTTTTTATTACTGGAGTTTAAAAAAGAAAAAACAAAACAAAACAAACAACCCAGCCAGGCCTGGTGGTGTGAGCCTGCAGCCCTAGCTGCTAAGGACTCCTGACTGAAGCTGGAGGATTACCTGAGGCCAAGAGTTGGCCCAGCCTAGGTGGTTCAGTAAGATCTTGCTCTTAAAAACAACCATCCACATTTCCTCTTGGGTGCAGTTCAGAGGCAGCTGGATTCTCCTGATGGGGCCAGCAGAGATGAAGCTGCCCCACCACAGCAGTCCTATGAACTGGCATCACTGTCATTCTGCATATGGGTACGAAACTGTTTTCACAATCAGGAATCATGCAGTTAACTACCCCCAGCCCCTAACTCCCCAAAGCACCTGCAAAATTCATCCCCATTCAGGTGAACCAGCTGGTCTGATCCGCTCTCCAACATGTGCCCCCTCCAGTTTCTCAAAATGAAGCCCTTTTCCTTTTTTTCCTTTGTTAGGGGATTGGCTTGATCTTTGTCAGGTATTTTCTCTCTTCAGTTAAGACTTCTGTAAATTTGTGCTGAAAGCCTCAGTTTAATCTCCATTAGCATTGCACAGAGGCCCCACATAGCCAGTGAGGGTGCTCTATACTAATAGGATGTCTGCTGTTAGGGGCACACAGCTTCCATGTGGAACAAAAGGCAGGTAGCAGATGAGCCAGACTTTGGGACAACTGGAATCTTTCTCCTAATGGGAGATTTAGTTTCACCCTTAAATACTTGATGTAAAATTATAAAGATCATAATAAAAAAGCTTTGTTCTAAAAAACTGTTGAATGCTAGAAGCCTGTATTTATGATTGGCTTTTATTAATTTTAGAAAGCTGTACAATATTTTGAAAAATCTGAAATTATAAATAGAAAAAATATTACAGTCAAAATTTTGTCATTACATATGGGAAAATACATACTATAAGGAATTCAGACAAGCTAGTAATAGAAGCTTGATTTACATAAAAGAAAGTTGGAGTATTTTGTGTTCCTTAAAGGCCACATTTGTAGCGTATCAGAATGGGACTTGACACTCAAATGGAATGAAGTTTTAATATTAATCTAACATTTCTGTTATTTTACAATGTTTTCACTCCAAGTTTTGTAAAAAGAAATATAAATGGTTGGCTGGCCAGCCAGAGACAGGTGAGCATTAGAGTGCTGGGACCTCATGGAAAAGCTTTGGTATCACACAGCTTTGAGCAGCACCCAGAAGAGATGCATGACCCCTGCCTGTCCCCACACAGCAAACAAGAACTTCCCTCCAGGGCCCTGCCTTCCTGGGCCATCAGTGGGGTGCCGCTTCAGTTGGCTGTTTTCAGGGGGGCCTTTCGGATGGACCTCCTGCTGGGGACCAGGTTGCCTTTTTTCCTGGCTGGGGACGTCACATTCCACTGTTGAGGCTGTGCAGGCCTGGGGAAAGAAACCACTTCTGGATCTAAAAGAAGAAACCCTGACCAAAACATCAACCTCAAAAGGAACCCCTTGGCAAACTTACGGTTTATCAGGCAGTGATAAACATAAAATGTCATTTCCTTGACTCTGGGCTTCGATTTTATCTGAAAGGAAATTAAACACAAATTCAGTTTTCCCAAAATTTCAAAGGCAGCTGGTGGATCAGACATGAAGGAAAGTGGGAACTTGCCTTTGGCTGGAAGAGGAGTCTGTGATGTCTCTATGTAACTGACCCCTGCTCCAAACGTGACTTCACTGATGGACTCTGGGTAAAGGGGAGACACTGCCGTTATTGAAAATCTGGTAAGACCAAGGCCTCAGATACAGCTGCCTGAGCAAGTGGGACAGCTTTACTCTGGTTTTTATTTACAGCCTCTGCCTTGCACCCAAGTGACAGCCACTGTGAGGCCTCAGGCTGACCTTTTCCCAAGACCTGATGGTGTGAATCTCCTCCTGAAAACTCCCTTAAATCCCCCGGACCTTCACTCTAACCACAGCCTCCTCAGACTGCCATGGCCCCTGTGCCTTCACTGCCTGTGACTGATGACTGATACATGCCAAAAATTCCTTGCCCCACTTGGCTAGTTGCTATTGTACTTCACCAGGAGTGCCTACAGAGAAGTCACTAGCTCACCACCTCTTCACACTTTCCCTTTTTGGGTACCAGGGATGTTCCTTCTGTTTTCCTACTCAGTAAATAGTCCATCCAAGAGATAGCACAGCAGCCACTTTCCCACACCAGTCTGTCCTAGCTAGCTTCAAGGAGCCCAGCATCCCATGACCTGCCCTCCTACTTCACTGTGAACACCGAGAGCATCTTGCTGCTGGTGTTTACAGGTCTTTTGGTCCCCCTCAGGGGACTGCTAAAGAACAGACTATAGCATACTGAGTTTGCATCCTGGCTCTGTTTTATAGTGTGAGGTTATGCTAAGAATTCAACTCTCTTCATTCTAAAATGGAGATGAAAACTCGTCTAACCAACAGGGTTGTCAAGATTAAATGATATTATTTACGTAAAGTACCTGCTACAAGGTAAGTGCTGAACGAATGTTGGCCACTATCATAGTTTTTTAGTTATAACTTACTGGGTAACTATTTCCTGTGTCACTGGGGTCATGTTTAATTAAAGACCAAGTAAAGTTACTGCACAGAGCACCTTGATGACTGTGTTCTAAGGAGACTTAAAATCTATTCTTGCTCCATGGGGGGCTCAAGCTGCCCTTATAAACACATGCTATGTGCACCTGCCATGGTCCACTGTGCCTGTTGTGTCTGTGGAGTTTCTCTCCACGAGGCCCTGGCATGTCACACCTGTGTAAATATTAGCTTCCGCCTGGCCTACTGGCCCCCATCTGCCCACAATGCACCCCCAACTCATACCCTCCTTCCCCGTGGTGCTGCACACGCTGCCTAATTGTCATCAACACACTTCTTAGGGGGCAGAGGACAGCCTGGCTCATTCTGCCCTCCTGATAGGTGCACTGGTCAGGGGAGCTTTAGAGTTCTTCTCATTCTCCTCATGCTGTAACTCCTTACAATCAGCCTGTACCTTTTTGTTCTAAATTTTAAAGTCCTGCAGTTCTACGGACCTGGGAATACTCCAGCTTTTAGGTAATGATAGAGAATTGCACTTTCACTGCTGCTACCACCAACACAGCTCAGAACTACTTTTTCCTGCTGTTCCTGTGAGGTTCTTCATTGTGCTGTCATCTGAGATTCCCCTTTCTTCCCTAGACACTGCCTTTCCTGGTTTGGAAGCCTATGTGCAGTCCAGATAATCTCTCACCTTTAAAACAGCACATACACAGTAGCTCTCACACCCTCAGTGCACACCATGCTTAGACTCAAAGGTAGAATCCTCTTGGCTGCCTTAATTACAGCAGTAAAAAAGGTACTTGCTTGTTTCTCCCTGATTTCAGTTAAAATCCTAGCTCTGAAATTATCCCTTTCCATTTAGCAAAACCAGTATCTGTTGAATATTCTTGGTGGCTTGCAGTTTTCCTACTGGCTTCACAGTGCTAAGAACACTTCTAACAGTCATCCCCACCTAAACTGGGAGCCACTTGTTTATAAACCACACTGATGCTAACAGCACTGAGTGCTCTTCAGTTCTCTGATAATTCTCCCAGTGAGGGGAACCAATAGCCCTTCTTCAAGCATTTCTTCCTGATTTAAAATGGACAGAAGTCGTATAGACAGGGGCATCATACTCCACAACCTGGAGAAAGAGCAAGTGTTCTGCTGATCCAAAGAAAGTAGTCTCATTTTCAGTGCAGATGAGTTTCACACATGCAAATTCAAGCAGCATTAATGTGCCATGCTAGGTTTCACTGCTGAGGACACAGGCTGCCAGTAAACCACAAAACTGAAATCAGGGACTCAAGGGATGAGGGAGGCTAAAATGAGAAAGAAGCATTCTCTCTGCTTCTGCAACATATGGCACCTAACTGCCAAAATAGAAGCTCTTGGTGCCCCTGAGCTGGGAACACAGAACATAGAGACATCTTTACTCTTTGAAGGATGCTGGCTATTTTACATTTTTAACATTATACTTGTCAACAGGAAGCTAGAACTGCCAACCTTTTGTGACAGAACCATCACGATGCAGTTGTACCTGAGGAGAGGTGGGGTGGGAATTCTGTTCATCCATTAATCTCCCTTTAAAAGAAGGCCCTGGAAGAAAATTACCTAAAACCCTGAGTATTCGATGACATACAGCACCACAAGTAAGCAAACAGCCAGAGGCAGGAGGTACTCAGGCCAGTGAGCTGACAGAAGGGTGCCTGCCCTTCCACTATAAAAGGGAACACCTGGGCACAACACTCCTCTCTTCATGCTTGGATCTGAACTGGGAAAGCCAGGCTAGACAAAGGACATGGCGTGAATCCAGAGGCCTGAGTTCAGCCCCAGCTCTGCCAATGTGACATCCATATCTGTGGAGTGGGCCCACAGAGTCATTGAGGAGTTAAACAGGTCACAATGGCAAGGACAGGCAGAACGAATACGGAGGGCTGGGAGAGGCTGCGCCAGGTGAGGACATGGCACAAGAGGGCCCGAGTCAGGAAGAATGTGGCTGGATGTCAGCACCGGAAGGAGGCTGCACACCACTGGGGTGCAGATGAGGGATACACAGGAGCATACTAGGCAGGCCCCAGAAACTCTAGTCCGTATTTTGGAGAGTAACGATTTCTTCATACCACAGATGAAGGATCCCTTATCTGAAAATAGAAGATCTAAAATGCTCTAAAATCTGACCTGTCTGGAATGCCAACATGAGGCCTTAAGTGGAAAATTCCACACCTCTGTGTGATGTGTTGCAGTCAAAATATAGGTACTGTAAAAATACTGTAAAAAATAACCTTTTACACGTGTAAAAGGAGTATACAAAACATAAATAAATTTTGTGTAGGCTTGGGTTGCATCCCCAAGGTATTTCATTTTATTTGTATATAAATATTCCAAAATCTGAAAATACCTGAAATCTAAAACACTTCTGGTCATAAGTAATTTGGATAAAGGATCCTCACTGTGCGTAATTTTCTCAAAATCTTGGTCTATGAAGTTTGAGTCAACAGTAAGCCACAAAATGAAAAACTGGGATAAAACATTCTACTCTTCTAACTGGCCTATCAAAAAGAAAAACACCAGGTAGAAATGAGAAGCCACTGGCTCTAGGCACAGCAGGGCACAGTCCTCACTGCCGACCTGTGGCTTATGGTGCTAGGAAGCCCACTCCAGGGCACACAAGGTACCTCCAGTGCTAACCCCCTACCACTCTGGCTGGAACAGACCATTGAGTGCACACACACAACACACCTGCATGGCATGGAGGGCACGAAGAGTGCTACTTCACAATGGCACCAGGCGGGTAGGTGACTGATCTATCTAGGCCTCAGCTTCACATTGGTCACTCTAAACTGAGGCAAGCAAAGCACTGGGAAGAGCACCTGACCTTCAGGAAACTTTCGCTCAACGAATACAGCAACTGCATGGCTATGAAACACAGAATCTGAACAATGTACTGTAGTGCAGCTGTATATCAGGAAAGCCTTTAGATAGAAGATCTATCTATCTTGCAACAGAGTTTTACTACTACTTCAGCAAGCACAGGACAGCTGTGGTGGAAAGCTGGAAGGAGAAGTTCATTCAAACTCACGACTTACTCTCTGGGGTGCTGATGGCTCTTTTGGTTAACCAGTCCATGGATCCATCAGTCTCTCGCTCTAAGCTGTAGGGTGATGCTACAATAGAACAGAAAAGTCTTATCTGACCAAAAACCCCCAAACAGTGTCATAAAACAAGAAACCAAATGAGAAAATTAAGATATATATGGTAAAATTAAAATTCCTAATGTTTAGTGTTCTTATAAAGAATCAATTCAGAAATAACTACAAATAAATGACCAACATGGAAAAAAAATGCCCATTCTTGCTAGAATTCAAAGAAATGGAAATTAAAATCATACCATTTTTGGTCCATAAAGATCAGCAAAGACAATGTAAAATTATAAAGCCAGTGCTTCTAAGCAGGAAAATAGATACTCCTGCACCATTTGGCATGAATTATGGATAATTTGATACTATCAGAGCTTTTAAGTTCAGCCTTTGGCTGCTGGGAACAATCCCATTACACATACAAAACTGTGTATGCAAGAATATTTACTAGTGTGATACTATTTGTATCAAAAAATTGAAAAGCATCTACACTTTGAAGAATTGGGCAGTAATAAAAAAAGTTGCGGTACTTTCACAAGATGTGCTATACACACAGGAAAAAGTTTTGGAAGTTCATGAAAAAATTTTCACTGTGTCATTAAAAACGTATGTAGGGAAGCGGGTTATAAAACAAGGTATACTGAGATCATAATTTTGTAAATAAAACGTATGTGAGGAGTAGAAAGGCTGGAGGAATAAAATCTCATTGCTATGGGTAAGTTATATTTCATTGTTTCCTAAATCTTTTAGCAAAAACATGTATCATTTTCTTATGTATAATCTTATATCCCCAATTAATGTTACTTATTTGAAAAATAAGAAAATAGAAACCATTTTAAAAGGAATGAGAAGTAGACCTGTGTTTTTGCCTGCAAGTTCCCACTATGTTAAGGCTTACTATTGCTGGTTGGTTTCCCTGGGCTTCCAGAATTTAAAGAGAAAGGTAATACTCCCACGCTTCGGCTGTGGTGCCTACTCTTGGACTCCACAGCTTTCTTGACAGAATTCAGGATTGCAATGGTACTCAGGGACATGGGCCTGTAGAGGAAACACATAGACCCTGACTCAGGGCAGACCACTGTGCTGGCAGTGGGGACACAAGAGATGCCCACCGATTTCCTTTTAAACCACCAATGACCCACCCTCTTGCCTGTCTCCATGAAGGAGTGGAGCAAGGTGTCAGCACAGACACTGGTGGAGAGACAGAGGCAAAACCTCTGCAGAGTATCCTGAGCAACATCGACCGCCACCGCCTCATCGTGCTCCTTACCTGGCCCTGGGCATTAACATCTTTGGAGGCCCAGTTTCCAGAGTGTGGCCAGCACTGGACTCAGGTGCTAAAGGCCGGCTTGTGCTCGGAGATACAGCAGCAGGTTTTTGGCCAACAGGAGCTGGTATTATCTCTAAGCCTGGGATGACCTGTTAAGAGAAAATGAATGGAATCTTGACATGCTGTGAGCAAGCCCATACATAATCTACTTTAAAACATATCAGCATGGGTTAATACAATTTCTCTTTAAAACAGAACCATCGGCAAACTGCCATATGCAGATATTGTGGCATTAAAGAGAAAAAGGAGTAAGTTTGGCCTCATCACTTTTTAATGCTGCAGATCTGTTTGGATCCCTCAGGCAATGAGAACTTCTTGCTTCTAATATGAGTAGCACCTAAACCCAAAGACCCTAGGGGCCTCTGCTCTACAGAGAGGCAGCCATGAGAAAAGAGACAGCAATGACCTAAGATGTCCGAGGTCATGGGTATAAAGAAAGATACCCTCTGCCAGCCTGTCTACTAGACATTCACACAGCTACCAGTGTAACAAAGGAAGACACACCTGATCATAAGGTGGGTTTTGAGGCAAGCTAGGGAAGCACAGAGAGGACTGGAAAACTGGTCAGCCTAAGGTGGGCCTCTTGTCTACCTGCACAGCTGGTGCTCTGGTGTCACTGTCAGCCACCCTATGTGCTTCTTCTGCATGTTTGGCCAGCTCTCGCTCCTGGGCCAGCTGTTCATTGTACTTCTTCATGTCATATTCAAGTTCTGAAGCTAACTGTTTGTCAACTGCAAAGAACTCTTTGACTTCATCTCGGTAATCCTGCATCACCTCCTAAAAGAGACCCAAAAGCATCTTTTAGTGTTTCCTTAAACAGAGAAATAAGCTCTCCAACAGAGCTTGGAATAAAATAACAGAACAGTAAGATTTGTATTCCTGAGTCCAGACTACTTCTATCACACTAATGACTGGGTTACTTAACATAACTGCACATTCCAAGGAAACAAACTACCCTTGTGCTGACCATGAAGGGAGATGTTCACTAATCGGATCTCCTAGGCAGTATCCTATCTACTCACAGGTAAGGAGTGGCTGCCTGGACTCCTGATGAGGGAAAGACTCAGATCCAGCTCAGACAAGCCCAGCAGCAGTCACAGAAGGTAGTGCAGTGTACAGGCTGCTCCACTGTGCTTGTCAGTGTTTACCACTGGCACCCAGGGATTACATTTTTGTTTACAGTAAACCTCGTATGTCACACCTGGGCAAGAACATTCTCAGGCCTTAAAAAGGAATGCTTGGAGCAAGGCCTCTTGGCCAAGAGCAAGAAAGCATTTTCCTGACAATATCAGAGGAAGGAAAAGATAGACTGCAGCTCCAATGAAGAGAGAAGCCCCAGCAGAAAAGAGGAAAATCCCTCTGTGCTTCCAGCTGTCACTACACACAGCTCCACAGAAGATGGAATCCTTCCCGGACTCTGCTGTGAAGCGGCAGTCCTGTGACACAGCTCAGAAACAGGGCAAGACTTGTTTAGGTGTCCCTCCACACCCCCCTGAAGTTTAAAATGGCAATAAAAATATAAGAATAATTTCATTTTTTCCATGTCATAAGTTTCTCTCTTCCTCAGGTTTCCTAGGATAAAAAGCTATTATAAAAATTATATCTAATATAATTTTGTTGTAGCCTTTGTAAGGAAAATTTTTTGAAGAAACACAGGAAAAAATCCTGACAGATTAAAGGAAAATATTGTTGCATTTATTTCTGAGACACTTGGAAGGTAAACACCCCATAATTAACCCCCTAACAACCTTTTACCTCACCCCTCACCAAGATGCACTGAGGTGACTGCCCTGAGCCCAGCAGAGAAAAGTTTTCAAAATAGAATCTAATTCTATCTATTAAGGGTGGACACTCAGCACAGCGCATCAGCCCTTTATAAACCCAACTGCACAAGAAGGAGCAACGGCAGCAGTGCCCCTGATCAAGCCCCACCTGACAGGAGTATTTCTAAACAAATCAGTGGAATGTCGCTTTTGCTGCTTCCTTGGTGCTTATCATTACTATCTGTCTACACCTGCAGAAGATGTTAAGTGGTGAACTTGGCAGTGGACACAACCCCAAAAGTCAAGCTCCTCCTTTACCCTGAGATAATACATGAGTTCCCGCAACGCTGGGATCTTATTTTTCTCCAGCACAGTCTTCAGGGAAATGATAATTGGAATAATATTTTCTATGAAGTTCTTCTTCTGGACCTGCAGTAATATAAAGACATGTTTTAGATTTACAAACTTCTGAAAGAAAGTTTCCCTTGACCTAATTTCTTTTTGTACAGCCAACCTAGCATACTATGACAATTTAGTTTTGATTTTTTTGGTTATGATACTGGGGATGTATACACTTACTGCTTTTCTCCTAAAGACTCTGTAGCATTACAGGAAAATGTCTGGAAGATTTGTATAGCAGAGCACAGATAAATACTACTTATATTTTCTAAGTAAGAAAAAAAAGACTAGAAATATATTGGAAAATGACAAAAAGCTCCAAATAACATCACAGACCCTTGACTTTGGCTCCATTTTCAGTCTTTGCATTAAGCATCTTTCCCTTTGGAATGAAAATGAGCTTACTCTGCTTTCCAGAAACATCCTATGTTTCTGAGGTTGAAATAACAATGGTCAAAAATGGCTAAGCATGAAAATGGCCAGCTTTGTGCATGCATGTGTGTGCACACACCACTTTGTATATTCAACTCTGTAAATTTTCAAAAGTGCTCTGTATTTACGTAGTACTTGATTTCAATGATCAGTAACTCAAATATTTTCTAATAAATCTTTCAGAATTAAAATAGTAATATGTATAAGATTTATACTCCTGAACTTGCAAAGAACTCTTTTATCTTATTTAAAGTCACTAATATGGTTTTTCCTTATAAATTACTTCTAAAAAGTCTTATCATGGCCAGGCTTGGTGGCACACACTTATAATCCCAACACTCAGGAGACTGAGGCATAAGTATTACTACAAGTTCAAATGCCAGCTTGAATTACATAGCGAGACCTTGTCTCAAAAAACAAACAAAACAAGTTAGATCAGTCCCTGAAACAGGAGGGCAATAGGCAAAACAAGAAGCAATTAAATAAATATAAAATTGAGCAGATGGTACTAGTTTAGGAACAGTCTTAAAGAGTGGACCACATGCATTGTTAACAGGCACGATCAAGGACCTTCTTTCTCTGCCTCAGACACAAAGCCAACCTCTGGTGATACAAAAGTGAAGCCAAGAATTCCTGCCCTCAAGCTGCTGAAGGGCATAATGCAACAGTGTCAGGAAGCTGAAGAACTTACTATGGAGGAGGGACACCCAGAAGGGAGGAAGTGGATGGGAATGTGTATCAGTATCTTCTCTTAAAATGACAGTCAAGGTAGGTGGGGATCTGGAGGGGAGGCAGAGGGCACTGCAGAGAAGAGCCAGTGTTACAGCCCACAGCAGGAGCAGGACCGAGGACTACCACCACTGGAGGGAGGGAGGAAGAGTGGCAAGGGACAGGGCAGGCCAGGCACACTTGAGTTGTTTTGAGAGAGAATGGGGTTCTATTTAGAAGATGGTGGGAAGCTACCAATATGGCTTTCAAAGACTGTTAACGAGATAAAACATATATATGATAAATTTGCCTATCTTAAGAGAACAGTTTTGAGCTCTGACTACAGGATATACTACTGGGTAACCAGTACCACAAATCCCCTACAGTCAATCATCCCCAGAAGTTCCTTGCTGCCCCTCACAGTCATTCTGCTTGCAGTGTACTTTAAGCAGAGGGATAAAATGCTCCAATCTGCACTTAAGGAAGATTGCTCTGGCAGCAATGCAGTCCATAGCCTGCAACAGAAAGAACTAGAGACAGGGTGCTGAGGAATCTACCAGGAATGGAACAGGCCTGAAAGGTCAGAACCAGTGGAAATGCAGAAGAGGAGTGGTCTACAAGATTAAAAGGGTAGGATTGTGTGGCAAGCCTGTAGGACCAAAGTCTATTCCTTTGGGTCAGATGGAAAACAGAAATCAGCCATTCAAACTATATTCCAAGAATACAGGACTTGGTAAGGTCTGAGGGGCAAGTGGGCTTTCCCAAGGTCAATCAAAGTTATTCTCCTGATTAAACAAAGAACATGCCTGGCACACCAGACTCCTTTCCTGTGCTCTGCTGTAGCGCCAGGTACCCTTTTTAATGATGTGGTAGATAAATTAGAAGAGGCAACAGCAGGAGGAAGAGAGGATTAGGATCAGTTCAGCCTTTACAGACACACATCTAGGCAGGCAAGCAGAACTGGGTCCAAGCTCTTACGAGGAGCTGGAGCTAGAAACAGGCTTGAGGGTCCTCCACTGCTGGACAGACAACAGCAGAACGCCAAGCACAACCACCAGGAAGCACAGGCTGGGAGCAGCCGCAGAAGAGGATGGCACACGCACCTGAGAGATGAGCTGCTTCTGTGCTTCCTGCATGACGATGTTGGCCAAGGCCACGTCATCCTCCTCCATGAGGAGGATGTCCTTATCCGGCTTAGCTCTCATCGCCATAAGCTTAATCTCTTTGGAGCTGAGGACCTCAAAGGTATCTGACAATAACTCACTGGCTTCCATGTCCAGAGGCAGGATGCCATCAGCGAAGCAGGCTGAGAAAGGGACAAGAGACCAGCTTCTGTGAAACACCCAGACATGGGGGAAGGGTAATTCAGAGAACTGGGGCCATCTGGGGCTGGGAGAGGTGGTGCCGAGAGGTCTGCATGGGCCACAGCTGATGGCAAAGGAGGACGGGTCTTCAAGCAGATCACCCTATAGACCTGCTGGGCCACGGTTGACATCCATTTCACCCCAAACACACCATGCCTACCCAAAATGCTAAGGCAGATTTTGGAAGTGATATTGAACCGCTGTTCATCTGTGAAGTGCTCCAGAAGAAACTTGTAGATTTTCATTCGGCTCTCCTTGTTTGTCTTTCCCTTCAGTGAAAACAACCGCTTCTCTCTGTGGCAGAGGAGGACAATTTTACCATATCACATGTGCTGGGTGGCAAAAATAAAACACAAAATGTGAAAGGTTCCTTCATAGCTGGGCACACCGTGCTCAAGGACACTGGTGAGACTAGGCTGTCAGCACGGGAACTTTTTCCTCAGGACTCTGGTGACGGTCTGTGTTCCACAGACCGCCCCCCCGCCACCGCCCCATGCCTCACTCTGCTCTGCCGAAAGGCAAGGCACGGAGGTCACTAGGTGCCCTGCTGACCTCTCTGACTGGGGAAACTTGTTGTACTTCTCGTGCTTCTCGTAGTTGTTGAAGTGGAAAATACACTCGATGAAGTGCTGGAAGAACATGACAGGGTTCCTCTTCAGTAACAGGTGAGCCAGGCAAAACTCCCCAAAGCTACAAAGAAGAAAGATTCAAAAGGAAGAGACCCATTTGCTCTCCACCTCTACAAATACGTAAGTACCTCTGGAGAACAGAAAAAAATGTCAAGGTAAGGTAAAGGGTTCTAAGCTTAACCCAATAAATAGGTTCATCAGATCAAAAGCAAGGCAGAAGCTGGGCACAAACCATCGTGCCTATAATCCCAGCACTCTGGGAGACTGAGGCGGAGGATCACACATTTAAGCCCAGCCTACACTACTTACTTAGCAGAATTTTGTCTCAAAATACAAAATAAAATAAAAAAAAGGCTGGAAATGTAGCTCAGTATGAGATTCCTACATTTAATTCCCAGTAATACAAACAAAACAAAATACAACAAAACAAGCTAGGTAGAAATTCTGCTTCTTTTGTCTGTTCCTCCCCAATGATTCCTTTTGAATCTGAGGTCAGTCTAAATGCTTTTGCTATAAAGTTGCCTTTCAAAATTTTAACAAGATGTGACCCTCCAGATACATTTCAAGGAGGAAAACCAAACAACCCAGCTTCCCCTAACAGTTTCTTCAAGTATAGATCATGATGATGGTCACCTTAAAATAAACATATGGACTTCATCCCCCAAACTTTTAAGTTTTTTATCACAATGATGAACAGCCGATTTTGGTTACTTTTAAGGAGGAGGATTATTAAAAAGACCTTCATAGTCTGTGTCAATGGAGCAAGTAAAGAACTCTTCACAGAATGACTATCACTGAGCTCTGGTCACCAGCAAGCCCTGGGCACCCTCTTCCACCTAGCCGAGGTTCCCAACACATCTGCCTGATGCTACACAATGGACAGATGCCACCAAGACTGCACCAAAGTGAGGGGAAAGAACCTAACAGTTTCCAAAGCCATTTGGAAAGGACAAAAGCCAAACTGCTGGCCTACAGGCTGCCTGACCATTTCTGGTTTTCCATGGTAGTGACAAACAATGCCAAGGCTCTGGATTTGCTTGGGGGTCAACCTCAGGTGGTGCAGGGCTCACTGTGGTTCATTCACTGCTAAGAACAATGCTTAGCTTCATTTCAAGCTCAGATGCAATTCCTATCTAGAAAGGATCACTGGGCAGCTCTCCGCTAGACAGGAGTAGGGACTAAACAATCCAGCGGGCTGGGGCTTGGCTTTGGGAACATCAGAACTTTGCAGGAGATTCACCTTCCCTTACTGTGTGCCTCAGGCTAAAATTCATGTCAGATAGGATTCTTAGCAATTAAAATTACGCACATCAATTAAAACTCACAGGATGGTTCAGAAATTGTGATTTTAGTAAGCCTAGAAAAAATTCTGATGCTGATATAATATCATGCTTTAACTATTTATCTAGGAAGTAAGGCAGCAGTCTGATTTATAAATACAAAAACAAATGAAATTCTATTTAACATAAGAAATTCTCAAGAATTCACACAGAAGCACTGTTTGACCTGAGAGCAGTCAGTATATTCTTTACAAACTGTTGCTTAGTAATCCAGATTTGACAGGGAAAGAAAATCATCTTATGTTCTTTCTAAACAAGGGTTACTTTGGTATTTATACTTTATATATATATATATATTTATACTTTATATACATCTTTATATTTAACAGAGTAAAGCAGAATTCTCCACATTCTCTGACCAGAATAGAGGAAACCATTAGATAAATAAAACACAACCTCCAAAGAAAATAAACCATGATTTTACATTTTGTGGTCCTCTATTATAGTTAATCTAGCATGGCACAGAAGGTTTAATGTCTACCTGAACTTTCTCCTCAGATTTAAAGGCATGTTTATGAGAATGTAAAACTACAACTTCTGCCAAAGGAGCTAGTTTAACTTCAACTTGATACCAAAATGCTAATCTACTCTGAGCTTAGGTCAAGAAGAGACTAATAGAGATATTACTGTAGAGCAGTGGTGGCGAAACTATGGCATGAGTGCTGCAGTGGGCACACACCGCCCTCTCTGTCAGAATGAGAGCCAAGTCATACCAGCAGCGGAGCCAGCGGATACACAATTTTAATTGTGGTGTTGGTACTTTGTGATAAATAAATGGGTTTTGGGTTGCATTTTGGGCACTCATCTCTAAAAGGTTCACCATCACATCACTGCTGTACAGTCTCTGCCCTACTGGAGAACTGGCCCAACTAAACTATACAGATAAACTCAGTAGTAACCCAAGAGTTCCTGTGCTTAGGGAAGAAAGCAGAATCAGATTACCAGTGTGAGAAGCCAGGGATCAGGCAGTAGTTATATCCAGGAATAACCCTGCTGTTGCATCTACTGGGGTTTTATTAAAAGGTCAAGTTTCAGTCTTGGTGGGGAAGACAAAGACAAAGCCCATGAACTTGATACATATGAGAAGAGAGACTATTTTGGCATTCGTTGGCTGAAAAGTTAACAGAAATTACCATCCCAAAGTAATGCTTTCTAGAACAGAAGAGGCAGAAGATCTCCAGGTAACTGGAGCAGAAAACCTCAATGGCTCTAAATAAAGCTTAGTAAATTAAGAACTCAGCCGGCATCTGTGGCAGTTAATTTTGATTATCAACGAGGCTGCACTGACAGGTGCCCAGAGGATTTGTAAAGGTTCTAGAGATGCTTGGGGACTATATCGGGCCCATGGCCCCTTCTCTATGGACTGGTCCCCTGTTCTCTGATTCCTGGAGCCATGAATGGAGCAGCTTTCCCCCACCATGCCCTCTGCCATGACGATTCTGCCTTGGGAGTTAGCCCACCATGGACTCAAACCTCTGAAACAAGCCAAATAAATCTCTCCTCCTTTAAGTTGTATATCTCAGGTAAGTTGTGTATCATGGAAAAGAAAAGCTGAATAATACAGCACCTTTCCCAGCCTTTTGGCATCCCTCAGGACAAGTACCATGGACAGATGGAATCACAACGCAGACACAGGGATACTGTCTAGATATCTGACACAGCATTAACCACGGACATGGAAAACAAGGCAAGACCAGCGAGTTGGAGCAACAACCCTTTAGGAGAAAATAATTACTTACTCTTTTATTAAGAATCAAAATGCAGGATTCAAACAACCTGCTGAGGCCACAAAGAAAGTAGTCTGTTCACTTCCATTTTCAGCATTACAGGAAAAATAAAAATATGACTTATTTTGGATTTTTTTTCCAAGATAAGTAATATTTTGAAGGCTTCTATTATCAGGCTCCTATTCCCGATCTGGCTTCCATGTGTCTACATGGGATCTGACCCACTTCTACCAGAATTCTATTTAAGTCTGGAGCCTAGCTCTTTCCTCCATCTTTGCTCTCCTTCGTTCCTACCAAGGAATCCACACCCCTCCTGTTATAAGGCTCTCCATATCTCTAGCCCAACCCAATACTGTTCTATTTCTTTTCTCCTGATCTAATCTCCGATGATGCCTTTTTCTGACCTTTCTACTCTGTGTTGTGTTCCAGGCATCATGATGAATCGAGCTCCTACTCTCCAGGTCAGCAATGGTGAATGTTCTAGAGACTGCCCAAATTGCATCCCTGAACCTACTTATTTATCACAAAGTACCAACACTACAGTTAAACCTGAATACCCGATGTGTGGCTGCTAGGGCGGTAATGGGGCAACTTGGCTTGTGTGCAGACAGGTACGGCTGTGTGTGCCAGCCATGACATGCATGCCAGAGGTTTGCCACCACTGCTCTAAGTAATGCTCTGTACTTCCTCTTCATGAGAGCTGGCTTTCTACCAGGGATGTCATTTCACTTACATTCCTCTCAAAGGGAGGCTGCCTCCTCTCAAATCCCACAGGCAGGGGACAAGGACCACATTTCCCAATGCCCTCTCTCTTCACTTATTTATTTACCAAATGTTCATGGAGTGTCTACTTGGGTTTCAAGCTCCCTTTCAGGTGCTAGACTTTTAGTCCTCTATCCCTCAGGAATCCTAAAATGTAGTGGGCAGATAGTCAATACAAAAAGTGTTATCAGAAGTGCTCTGAAGAAAAAAACAGCTGGAGGAGGGTACAAACGAGGGGAGAGAGAGCTGGCTAGTGGTTGAAGCAAACAAAAAAACCCCCACAAACTGTTGTTCTACTTGGTTCAGCTCAGAACATCCAACCTCTACTGTCATAGCCCCCTCCACCTACCTACTCTGCTCTCTACTACTTGATATCTGGTTCAACTTTTTCTTTTCATTCTAGATCCTAACATGACTCAGTGCATTCAATATCCATACAAAGGAGCTCAACTGACAGTCTAACCTTCTGTTTCCCCAACTGCATGGTCTATAGGGATCCCATATATGTGCTTCATGTCACCAGTCCATTGCCACATTTTGGCACATCTCTACATTGGATATCGAACAGTCTACTTTATGAACACCCCCGCCTATCCTTCTAGCTGTCTGGCTTCCTACCCCATTCCACTTCTTCAACTTCACTAGCCCTCTAGGTAGTTTAATACTTCCTGTTTCTCCCAAAGCAAGAATCTGTCATTTAACCGTTTTCTTCCTCAAGGGTATATTATATGTTATTATTAACTTTCTTGCCTTGATTCTCTCTGGACCCTGCCTGCTTGCACTTCTGAGGCAACTATCAAGTTGTATGGCTTATATTAAAATGTCCCCCCAAAGCCTCGTGCAGTCATAGTTGGGACTTCTTTGGAGGATCTAGGGTGTGTGAGTGTGGACTAAGGGTGCATGGCATTGGATTAGTCCACTAGTTTGTATCATACTTCTGGGAGTGGTTTATGGGAAGCCCTACCTTGGATGTGGGTGGCACCACCCAAAAGCTTATATCCTGGGTGGGACACAAGGGAAAGGGAGGCTTGCTGCTCTTCTACTGCTTCTGCTCTTTGCTTAGTGCTTTCTGCCTTCCCTGACATGGACTGTTTCCTCTCTGTGATGCCCCTGTGCCATGCCACCCAACCTTGGAGCCAGCTTTACAAATAGGGAGCCTTTAACTTTGGGTGTTGAATATTTTATCTCAGCAAAAAAGTAACTAAGATACCAATTAAACAACCCAAATGTCTGGCTATTGCCTTATGACTACTAAATTACAAGGCCATTCACCTATGTGGAGAGAGGAGAAAAAAAAAATCAGTTCTGTAGCTCCCAAATTTTGATTTATATGACCAATTAAAAATTTCATACAGGACCAAGGATTTAGCTCAGTGGTTCTGCTGCCTGCCTTACAAGTGCAGGACCCAAGTTTGATCCCTGGTACCAAAAAAAGAAGAAAAAAAAAATTTCATATAAATTTGTATATGCCAGAATCTTCAGAAAATCCAGCTGAAGAAATATTTTAATGTAAGCAGATATGTCTGGTCTTTGACCTAAAATTTGGGGAACAGACTAACAAATTACATTTAGCAAATGTAGTCATCAACTCTTTAAAGCTAAAAATCTTGTCCACATTTGATCCACAGTTAAAGCAAACCCAGAATGCCAAAATAAAATGGAAGGATTTAAGGAAGGGGTATTAAAATGCTAGAAGAAATGATAACCTTACTATAGTGTAAGATCTCTAATCTTTCTGATCAATTTTCTGAGTAATTGTATTTACAGGTTCTATTTATGCACTGATTAAGTCTTCTTTTTTTTTTTT